GGAACAACTTTCTGTTCCTTAAAATAACCTGACTTCGTTTTACGACAGAATTTCCATAGTGTGTTTGATGATTTATAGTCCGAAATCTGATGGGACCCATGAGATTGGACAAGTGGATTCAACGCCACCGCTTGGGTTCCATCCCATGATGCCCACAAGAAGTAACCATTTGAAACAACATAGTCCCCTCCCGGACCCACAATGACCCTTGTTTATCTGCTGGTCTTCAAGAATGAGGTCGACAAAACTATTTAGGCCTTTGGAACCTCACAACACAGGCATTTCAAACTCCCACATCACCAGTGAATGCATACCGATTTCTTGGAGTGTTTCTACCGCAGTCACCAGAAATGGATTTTGCAGGTTGACTCTTTTCGAAATCTGCCTGCAAGTTCTCACAGAAAACAGTTAACAAAAAAGAGCAAAGCAGATGGATAGTCTGCCGTGAACAATTTTTACAGTGTAGCTTACCATGAATAATGACAACGTTTTTTGTGTTTATTTCAACTGGTCTTTTAAAGTTGCTTACAAGATGGAAGACAAAACTGTGCACATATATTAGGTCATGTGTATGCACTTTACATCTTTGTTTGAGTGCGAGGCTTCTCAACTATGAGTATCCCCGACGTAGGGCATGGCTATCATGTATTCTTAATGGGTCATCGGAACCAGTTTAACTTACAATAAAAGCAACTTTGCAAGCTTCTGGATCGCTGGAAACCAGAGGACATGTTAACGGGAAATGACTGGCGTCACTGACAGAGAGTTCGATTTCCGGTCTGTACCGAACACAAGAAGGGTGAAATACGGAGTCAGGCAACTTGTTTTTCTCCCTCTTGGCTTTCAGTGTCAAGAACAAAACCATATGAATAACTACCTGCTCAGCTATGAATTCCATACTGAATAGAGTCTGATAGTCTAGACAGTGCCCCGAATCCGAGGACTATAGTCATCACGCTGACAAATATGCCGTAGTGTTCAGCTGGAATTATTTTCTTTGCCTGAGGCAGTTAGTTTTGGCAGGCGAAAGTGCTTTTCAATATTTAAAACGAAAAAAGTGACCTAGGAATGCACTGCGTGGTTTAGTATGCAAAACAAAGAATCAGCAATTTTGGGCGAAATCCGTGGGTCGGGGTGCAATCTGCAGTCACAAGTTGGTGACTTTGCCGTAAGATGTATATCAATGTTTGATATTTGCGGTCCTTTTGTTTAGTCCACGGCATAGAGTGTGTGCACTGAGATCGAAATCGGAACCCATGTTACTGCAATGATCTTAGTGAAATCAGGCTGAAATTTATTCACACCCAAGGTGCCAAGGTGTCCAACTAATTTTGACGAAAATTCCAATTGGCAAATGTGCTATTTCTATTTTTGGAAGACGTTTTTACTTCCACATACCTGGCATACGTTAGCTGGACTGCGCAGGGTGTTCCCCCATACTGTCTATCTATACTAGCCTGAATTCCGAGAATACGTGTGATTGAGCATCACATTCGTAAGCAACCATTTTTGTATGATTAACTAGGGTCTATTTTGCTTCATTTAACCGTTAAGCTAACCAAATAATTGTAATTTTTGTTCTATTTATTAGCGCAATCCTATGTAATGTCTGAGGGCACAAGGCGTTCTATTGCATTTCAAGATTTCAAAACCTAGGGTGGCGTCGGTGATCTTAATGAATTGCAACCTACATGTTTTCGTCAAAACTTTAGGTTTAAAAAACACACAATGAAGTTAAAATACTGACCATATTTCAGAAAATTAGGCACTTGATAAAATTGGCTACATGCCTGGATAAAGCAGCTGCCTAGGTCTATATTTCGCAGCGTTTTTAGTCTTTCTAAGGGGNCTGGGAATGACTGGCGTCACTGACAGAGATTTCGATTTCCGATCTGTACCGAACACAGGAAGGGTGAACTGCGTTAGCTGGACTGCGCAGGGTGTTTCCACATACCATCTATCTACACGAGCCTGGATTCCGAGAATACGTCGGATTGAGCATCATATTCGTAAGCAACCATTTTTGTATGATTAACTAGGGTCTATTTTGCTTTATTTAACCTTTAAGCCAACCAAATAATTGTAATTTTTGGTCTATTTATTAGCGCGATTCTATGTAATGTCTGGGGGCACAAGGCGTTTTATTACATTTCAAGATTTCAAAATCTAGGGTGGCGTCGGCGATCTTAATGAATTGCAACCTTCATGTTTTCGTCAAAACTTTAGGTTTAAATAACACTCGATGAAGGCAAAATACCGGCCATATTTCAGAAAATTAGGCACGTGATGACATTGGCTACTCGCCTGGATAAAGCAGCTGCCCAGGTCTATATTTCGCAGCGTTTTTAGTCTTTCTAAGGGGATTGCCTCCTTCTCAGGGAGGAGACAAAATCCCAAGAACAATCACCAAATAAGTGATTACCTGTTAGTCATTTTCTCAATTATCTCAAGTTTAATGGTTGCGCTCAGTTTCTTGTTTCACCGACAGGTAACATCAAGATCTCATTTTGTGGTCGTAGCACTTTTTAACATAAAACAGCTTTCCCACCTCCCAGGGAGCCATAGTGCAGGCCAACTGCGACTGCCCTAAATGTCCAAATTTGTGCGGCGCACAAAAGACTTTGAGATGCGTGGACCAAGAATAGGAGTACAAACATAAGCAGCTGAGTGAATGCATGATTTAAACTTTGAGAGCAAAAGTCCGATTTTCTTTCCAAAGGAATAAAGGGTGCCCGTTATTCTTCATTTCCATGACGGACAGAGGCTGCCCGAGATTTCTCAACCAATCTACCAGTCTTCCGTCAAAAATCTGCGACAGAAACTTTCTGTTACGTCACTATTGTGGACCACAACCACCTAATGCTTTCATATTACCGTGAATTCCGGTCTTGGTAGACGAATGATCGCCTGGAGCCCTTGTTTAAACCAAAAAAATTCAATGGACGCGCGAGTCTTGTACTCTATTGATCACTGTCGCGTATGAGCTGGTCAAAAAAGTGATATTAAGAATACAACTCATCGGTCGAGGGGGAGTGAAGAACAGCCAGTGAAATCTGTCTCGACGAAAAACGGTTATTCCGTTGGCACTTATGTAGTCGCGTTACGTTCGGCGCTGGTTGTCCCAATATCTTTCCTTTGAAGTTGAGTAATATAAGTCTTCTCTCTAGGATTAACTTCAGCCTCCGTCACTGGCTTTCTTCCGCGTGTCGTCCTACATGATTGCTGATACATAGACGCTGCCGGCAGCTGCTCCGCAAACTGAGTTGTCCTTCTTCCGTTCATGTCCAGGCGTTCTATTGGAACGTTCAGAAGCAACTTATTTAATCTCTAGGTGGGTTGTGAATCAGCTTTATTTAACTGATTCGCAAGACGATTCCACGTTTTGGAACTCACGCAAATATCGTAGATGACATTCCAATTTGCTGGGTGATTTTTCCTTGACGCCAGGAAATACGATTACCGTGACAGTCCTTTGCTAGCACGCTATGTCCGATGTCAAAAGGTCACCACTTTGCAGCATGATTGTGATTATATAATAGGAATCCATCTTCCGTTTTAATAATGCCACCTATCACATCCCCGTCGCCAAATTGCAGTGGACCACAGTCACTTAATGCCTTCTTATTACCGTGAGCCTGGATGGCCGCTGGATTGCCTATGCGCTTGTGAGTTTCGCGGAACTGGTTCTCCTGACAATCATCCACGCTATTCCTATGGACATCCTTCTAGAATCTCTGATGTATTCTACTGGTCANTCTATTGGAACGTTCAGAAGCAACTTATTCAATCTCTAGGTGGGTTGTGAATCAGTTTAACTGATTTTTAACTGATTTGCATGACGACTCCACGTTTCGGAACTCACGCAAACATCATAGATGACATTTCAATTTCCTGGGTGATTTTGTCTTGACGCCAGGATATGCGATTACCATGATAGTCCTTTGCCAGCACGCTATGTCCGATGTCAAAAGGTCACCACTTTGCAGCATGCTTGTCATTATATAATAGGAATCCGTCTTCCGTTTTAATAATACCACCTATCACGTCCCCGTCGCCAAACTGCTGTGAACCACAGTCACTTAATGTCTTCTTATTACCATGAGCCTGGATGGCTGCTTAATTGCCTGGTGCGCTTATGAGTTTCGCGGAACTGGTTCTTCTGACGATCACCCAAGCAATTCCTTCGGACATCCTTCTAGAATCTCTGATGTATTCTACTGGTCACACTAAAAGAGGTCCGGGTCTATTAGTTGGAATTTTGCCGAACAAATTTCCAGAAGTATTGT